CACACGCAGCTGGGCTTTTAAACTTAAATTCTTTTGCATTAAATCAGTTACTGTACGAAAAGTTGCAGTTAGTACTCCCCCCTTGTCGTATTGTGGGGCCACCCTCTCATCCGCGGCGCGTTCCTCCGTCTCCAGATCTTCGCAGAGCTCGGATGGAAGCTCGCGACCCCTTAATCTAGACACCAGCATAAAGGGGGCGAACTGGTCAATCGGCACCAGTTCTTCACTCTCCCAAGCACATCTTAGGCAACAGGCACACTCCTGGGTGAGGGTCGGGTTTACTGCGCCTGCCGGGTTGACTCTGGCGAGGGACACAGTGTCGAGGGGCCTGAACAGGACCCTCTCATCTCTCATTATACACCTGAATACTGCGGAGTGCAGATACACTTCCCTCTCTCTCGGGGCTCCGTCTTCGGAAGCTCCCTCTTCTCCCTTCAGCGAAAGGCGTCCGCTGATAAACCTCTCACCTGTTCCGCCCGTCTGGTAGTAAGCGATATGCGCCTCCAGTTCCATAAAGCTTTCTATTTGGCGTTTTTCACTACACCAAGGGCAGTTCTTAACTAATTCTAGCTCCAGCGTGCCTTCCCCTGATCCCATCCTTTTCGCCATGTGCGGGCCGGGAGCGGTCTGAGGTTCTCGGGGGTTTTTTCTTCGCACGGCTGGCTGTGGCCAGCAGCCCTGGCACGCGGGTCGGGGAATGCAAGCCGGCGGACTAGAATTAGGCACGGACGCTTAGCGGTTGATTAAAGATTATTTTACTTACACCGAAGATGGTTGCGGAACCTCTAGCCCAATCCGGTTGAAGGCTCTAAACATGTGAGCCCGTCGTGTCAACCGAAGAAAACAACTTGGAGAAAAGAGCTCTGGATTCACTCACACGAAGTTTGCTAGGCTCCGTGGAACTTGCGCGCAGGGAAGGGGTTCGTCGAGGGATCGTTCAGCGACGGGGAGAGGCCAGAGGTTGGTCAGACCCCTATGCCTTCTCAAGGTACACACTGGGTCCAATAGGCTCCGCAGCACTTAGAGATCTTCACGGGACGTGAAGTTCTCCTCCTCCAGATGGTTGTGGAGTCCTCCAACTTGGGCAGAAACTGCTCAAGCCTCTTATACGGCTAGCAAGCCAATCACTAGCCGCCATGTGGGAATAATTTAGAACTGGCCAATAGTGGGACACAAATTTGCATGCGAATGGCAGGAACCCCTTTGCACCGTGCATTTCTCTTTGCAACTAAGAAATGCACCCTGCAAAGAAAGCTCCGAGTGGCGGGAAATAATTTAGCAGTGCCGAAGCGCGCGCACATCAAATCACACCCTTGGGTTGTGATAATACTAAATGTAAAAGTATCACCAGAGCGCAGTAACTAAGTGTCATCACGCTGTGCAGGGAGAGAGCGTGGGCTGGCATGGCGCACCACGAATATTCGAAATCGCAAATCCGTGAATGGCAAGGGTCTCCTGTACAGACTTTTTCACACCAGGCATTTCAAACAATCCTGTGTAGCCTTACCAAAAAAAAAAAAATCCTAGATCAGAATAGTGCTTCCAATCCAAATAGTGCTTCCATTCAAAATCAAGGAGCTGCCAGTTCTGACGTAGCTTGTATAACCTTTGCAAAAGGGCTGAGGAGTTTGTATCATAATGGTTTCTAGTTGGATGATTATATGCATTTTTCCTACTGAACTTGTGTGCAAAATGGTTGGTGTAAGGGAATTGAATTTAAGTTGTGTAGGTGATGAAGTTTTCCAGGACTGGACTGAATATAGTTCCTCAAGGCAGGAAATCAATTAGCACCCTCCTACAAATACCAAATTAATTAGCAATAAATGCCAAATTTGTAAATTTTTCTAAGGGCAAGTCATATTGTAGGTCTCCACATATACATGATTAAATGTTTGAAAATAATGTTCGTGATAAATATTGGTGCAGATTCTAGTAGATTATTAAAGATCTCTAATGACATCTTTACTTCTCATTGAAAGATGCTGGTTGAAGAAAAGATCAAAGTATGCAGTTTCTCCCAAGAAATTACACAGCAGACTTCTGTAGAAGGAAAGAAATCAAGATTCATGCTTTTCAAGAGGGGCAAGTGGACATGATTAACAGAAGCTGTAAATGGTCTGGAGAAGGGAAAAAGGTAGCACTTCACTAAGAAAATTATTGTAATGTATATGAGAGTGCATCTGACACTTGTATGTACATTTTTTTATTTTGCTAATTTCAAGAGCACATGTTTATTTTACTGTTGAATGCAAGTCACTGTCATAGTTGACTGGCTGGGACAAAAGCAGCTTATTAGCTAATTTGTGTGCACACTTGCTTGTTCAATTAGGCTAAGGCCTAGTTTGGTATGAATAGGCCCAATATGGCCTGTGGACTGGCCCTGCACCATGTACCATTTGGGTCTGATCAGACTAGGCCATATTGAGCTCACAGACTCCTGATCTGGGTGGCTACTCCAGCCATTTTGGAACCTGCACTCCATGCGACACAGTTCCAGTCCTGCTGCTGACAACTTAGTTAGGGCTGCCACCTTACATAGAAACCGAACCCAGCACTGGTTCTGAACCTCACAGGCAATCTACAGCAGGAAGATGAGAGATATCATAGTGCAGGGGTGTCAAACATACAGCTCCTGGGCTAGATCCATCCTGCAGAGCCCCACCAACCAGCCCCAGGCTGTATGTTTGTCACCCCTGCTCTATGGTATCTTTTATTTTCCTGCTGGAGATTACCTATAAGGTTCAGAACCAGTGCTGGGTTTGGTTTCTATGTAAGGTGGCAGCCCTGACTAAGTTGTCAGCAGCAGGACTGGAACTTTGTGTGTAAAAGCATGATTCTCTTCTGCCTCTACAAAAGGGCTCTGTTTGGTTCCTCAGTATGGCCCAGCCACTAAAGGAAGGAAGGGACACACCATATGTATGTTCATTGAGTGATTACCCATGCAGTTTCAGCTGTTGGTACACGCACACCAGCTTGCACGAGATGGGATTTTTTTGGCTCGCAATGTCTATTTAGGCTGTATCTGCATCCCTGCCTCAAAGGGCAGTAAGGGAGGAGTGGACTTAGCCTATCCCATAATTCCTACGTATTGAATTTAGCGATAAGAGACAGCTTCTGCAGTGTTTCCTGTTTATCTAGTGTTAGAGCCTTATTTGTCTAGAGGCAAAATTATATACATGCATATATTTCTCTTTAGTTTAAGCTGTGCCTACTGCCTCCCAGAAGAAAGTGTTAGCAACATACCAGAAGCTAAGTCACTGAGATTTAATATATGACCCTCTCATGATGCTTTTTCTCTCAGTATGGTACAGTCCTGTAGAAATGCACTTCTCAGAATGGTGGAACTTCTTTTGTTTCTTCCTTTACCTACATTCAAACATTTCTCCTTGCATGATTGGAAGTTTCCTTGTATGTAGAGGGGAGGGTTACAACCAGGTCTTAGCCATTGGGTCATTATGTCTGTTTGTGCCAAGGTGATTTGCAATTCTGCTCCTGGACTAGGGACAGAAATTACACATAAAATGATATAAGTGATCAGAAACCAGTTCAAATCTGTAACACAACAGAAGTTCAGTGCACATAAACCACTTTCAAAATGGCTGAAACCTGTTTAAGATAAGTCTGAATGGATGTAGTATCAGACTCAACTGATTTAGATAAAATTAGCTTATTGAATTTCTGTCCCAGATCCCCTCAAGTTTCAAGTTAACTCAGTCCCCCAGCATCTCATGATGCTTTGCACCTCTCCTGCAAACCTTCCCTCGCAGGGTGGGTAGACTGCCCTTGGCTCAAGCGGTCTGCTCCAGCACCCCCCAGCTTCTGGCCTGAGCCGCTGCAGGCATGTGTCTACATTTCCGGAATCAAAAGTGAATGTTTGTTCACTTGCTTATTGGTTCAATCTACACAGCTTAGATTAATCTGTAAAGACTGAATCAATTCAGCCTCAGACTTTTTGACTATCTGTACTTAGCCCTGGCCTCAGGCCACATCACCTGAAGGGCCCATTTCTCTGTTTGCCACTGCATCAGTATCAGTGTCTTCTGATAGAAGCAGAACAAAGAATGGTTTCAGAAATGAGCCACAGTTGCAGATGTCTGCCATTGGCCAAGTTGAGGTGTAAGTCCAATGAACCTGACTTCTCTTAGCCTCATTTGTCCAAAGTCCAAAAGCTAGAGAAAGTCCTTTCTGGTGCATCAGTACTGATTTCCAAAGCAGCACATGCAATACCCATTAAAAGGAAGGATCATGCTGTTCTTCAGTACCCACCTTAGCACAGGGTGCTCCAATAGCTGGAATCTCAGTATTTGAGTCCCAGTACCTTCTACTTTGGTACCAGCTACCTCTGTATTACCCATTACTGTGGCACTGAGTTTCCCCAAACAGTGATGGGTGAGTAATTGGAATGGTCCTTAAGATAGAAAGTAGTGGCATCCAAATGCCAGCTTCAGAGTTATGAGTGCACCAGATTAGAGTTATCCTTGGTAATCAATATCCTAACACAGAACCAGGGTCAATCTGGTAGAACAGCTCTTTTCTTGAGGAAATATTTTCTTCTGCTGCTGTTTATGATAGGGTTCATGCACCACCTGCCCCTTTCTAGTCTCCTATGCTGCCACATCCTACATAGTACTTTGGGCTTTAGGAAGGGATTATATATTGAAGAATCCATGAAAGACAGCAAAAAAAAAAAATCTTGAGGGCACAGAGGCTCATCCTGTCTGGCACCACTTTTTCCCACCCTTCCCCATTCTACCATGCTTTTCTTTCCCAAGCTTCACTCAACAGGGAAAACTAAACTTCATGTCCACTGTACTTCTACAGTGACTGGACAAATATTGTTCTGGAACATGCCCAAACTATTTGTAGCCTTTGCTGATGGAGCTAACCTATAAATTGATAGAGATTATCTGAGCAGGTCTCCAGCCACAAAAAGAGGAGTGAAACAGTAGATCAGGAGTCGGCAGCATTTTTGGGAAGAGTGCCAAAAACACCCACAACCTCAACTTGTAAGATGTTAGTGTGCCACGGATGGACAGCAGGGGAGCTGCAAGGGGCCTGATCCCTGTTGTGGCAGCACAGCCCCGATCCCTTTCCCACCATCCACTTCGAAACACGTGTGCACCCACCACCAGCAATGAGTCAGCCCTGGTGCGGCTACTTGCAGCCTCCCAACTGCTTGCCACAGCTGGCTCGGGCAGGCCCCTGATGCCTGCCACAGAGCCCAGGCTGCTTGCAGCAGGCAGCAGAGAGGCTGCAAGTGGCTGCACCAAGGCCCGCAGAGCCCTGACCTAGGTTGTTGCTGGTGATTGGTGCAACCGCACCTCAAGGCACACAGCGTGGAAGGGCCAGGGCTGCACTGCCACAATGAGGATCAGGCCCTTCACAGCTCCTTTGCCATCTCACCCACTTTGCATGCCATGCTCTGGCATCCATGCCAGGGGTTGCCTACTCCTTTAGTAGATCCACCTAACCATGTTGGGGCTCATTCCAGTAAGACTCATGCTGCTTCTGCTGCCTGTTTGGAGGATGTCCTTGTACCTATACCTGGTACAACAAGTATACAGTACTTGATCTACACATTTACATGACTCTGTTCCTTAGCTGAGGCTTCCAAATTGAATGCTTATATCAGCTGGGCTGTCTTGCAGTTATTAACTGTCTCTTATTACCCATCTTCAAGCAAATAAACTCTTTTCAGTCATTAGGAGTGGAATTTTAATTATTACTGAAAGGCTCCAAGATGAAATAAAGATTATTTAAAGCAGGGCTGTCCAACTTCTAAATGGCCAGGGGCTGCAAGCCCTGCAGGCCGCACCAGCACAAGCCACACACCCCAGTGCCAGAGTAGGAGGGACCCAGTCTCACCCTCAACTCGCCAACTGTGGGCTCCCCCAACCCCACAGGCTGCACTGCACACCATCCAGCCCCCTGTGGTGAGGTCAGGAAGGAGGGAGGGGGAACCCAGAAACCCTGGCTGCTTCTGCAGTTGGAGCAATGGCTGGGTAGAAGCCTGGGAGCTGCAAGTTAATCCCTTGTGGGCTGCATGCGATCTGTCAGCCACCAGCTGGAGATCTCTGACTAAAAGTAACCATGCTTCTTTGTGATACATTGGAACCAGATAGATTCCACAACCCACCCTCCTTCCAGGGGTTCCAACAGGGAGCTGATGGGCTCTGCAGCACTGCCTTCCCCACCCCACCCCCCAATGGGGAAAGTGGAGTGGACAGTCACTGAGCACTCCCAACACCCTGGGTGCTTCCATCCCACAGTATAGCACCCTTTTTCCTGTCCTGCAGTCACAGTGCCCGGTGTCAGGAGTCCCAAGAGGAGGCATGTGGAGGGAAGAGCACTGTATTGTGGGTACATGGAGGCCAAACCTCCTGTATACACGTATTCTAAAAGGAAACAGTACAAAATAGCACCAGCTTCTTCCAGGTACATTTTTTCATGTATGAGTGTTTTATCAGGCATGTACTTAGCTGCTGAAACATTTCAAAGCCATCTGCAATGTTTCAGATGTTTACTCCGTCCACAGCCTAAAGCAAAACCCTACAGAAACATTTTTGAAAACACGTACCCTGTTGCCAGTCGGCGGGATCAGCCACAGAGCGACCCATCCTCCCCTCAGTTGCTGACTGGTAGCTGGGGGGCCATGTGCCCCCCCCAACTAAGGCGGCATGAGTCATTCATGGCCACTTGTCTCCTGGGACCAGGGTCTTTGTAGCCAGACTGTTACGGTCATATTTAGATTTCTCTTTGCTGCCTTGTAAGAGAAAGATTCGTCAGAAGAGAGACTGATGTTTGCTAGTATTACGCTTATTTAGGCCAATGGAATCTTTGCTAATACCAAAGGCAATTTTGTCCTGAATAATGCTTACAACAAATGTTCTTGTTTGGGATGTTATATTTTGACATCCCTATAATAACAGATCAACCAAATACACAAGCTATTAGACTAACAAGAAGAAAGGATTCATAGAGTTAAGAGTTGAAAAAAAAATTTCTCTTCTACTCCATGCCACTCCCATTTTCCTGTTGAGCTGGCAAATGTTTTGTTATGAGTGAATCCTGGTAACAATACTGTTTGCATATGAGAAAAGCATATTCAAAGGCTAAGAAACCATGTCTGTGGGAAAAGGTACAACAACCTAAACAGGTAGAGCCAGATGGCGTTGCTATGGTCTGGAGTTCCTTAAGAGCCAGTAAACTAAACCTGCTACAAAGGTCAGAGACTAGGGAAAAATGGATGAATGTACTGTTTGAGGAAAATCAAGAGGAGGACAATATAAACACCCTCTCATATCACTGGAGTTTTGGAAATAAATACTGCATCGCTGTTCTCTGCAACCAAACTGAGGGATCTGGAACCTTGGAAGACTATAATAGGCTGACACCCTTTCAGGCAAATAAGAGCAACTAGAATATGAACTACCTTCATTACTTGAATATTAATAAAGTATGTTATTTTCTTGGACAATGTTTTTAAGCAGTTACTCAGAAAAGTGTTTTAACTGGAATTTTGTGGTTTTCTACTTTAAAAAATAGCTAGTGAAACTGTAGCAAAACACGAAAGGAACTTAAATTCACCTTCTTCAAAATTCAATTTCACATTGAACAGCTGTTACAAAGCATGTGGTCTGCTTATACAACGGGAAGTTTTTCTCAAAAAACTCTGTACATGGTAAGCAGTATTTGAGCTGTTTTAGCTGGATATGTGATTCACTTAAACTGATAACATAATCAAAATTTGTCAGTTTTTAATTTGAACATCTGGAAACTTTATTATATCAATTGCTGAATGGGGAGACCTTAGCTAAAGACTTTCTATATGGTTTTCTTTTCTATACCATATAATTGTTTTATTGTCTGTGTGTGATCAGTATGATAAAAATAATGGTCCCTTTTATACTAAAAGTGTAAAATAGACCAACATATAATCACAAAAGAATAAGGGAAAGAATACATTATTTCTATAGGGTGAAATTAGCTTAAATGTTTACCAAACCAGGTGCAACATCTATTTCCTCATCTCTTTAGCAATCATGAGAAAAAAATATTTGACTTGCCTCAAGTGAATACAGTCTTGCAAAGTTAGGCTATAATGATATTTTTATATTGCACTGTTTTCATCCAGGGATATAAAGAAACAACTTGTTTCCCTTCAATTTCCAAGAGATACCTCGAAAATGCAATTGCTGTAAGTATTTGAATAATATACTTTCTCTTGGTGAAGACCCATCAGTTTTTAGATACTTCTATGGAAGGAATAATTAGACATTATTTTCAGTTATCACAGTCTATAACATAAAATATTATCTGTATCTTCATGCCAGATTATGTTTTGTTATATTCCCATATGTCTGCAGTTGATTTCAGAAGGAGTTCTGTATTTTATTTTTCTTGAATGAAGAATTTGTGGTTGCCATTAGCATGATATCTGAGTACCACATAATATTTAATCTCTTTAGCCACACAGCATCCCAATGAGGTAATGCAGTATTACTGGTATAATCCCAGTTTTACAGATGTGAAACTAGACAGAGAAAAATTACCTTGTCCTTGGTCTTATAGCGGTCAGTAGTGAAGTAGGTAAGTAAACTCAAGCTCTTCCAAGTCTCAGGCTACACTACATTGCTGAAAGGTCGGTCTTTGGACATTACCCAGCATCTAAAAGCTGCTTTCATATACAGATAAATGTGAAAGATGATCTAGCAAATACTCAATTTAAACCATCAATTTTCAATGATAATTTGCAGTTCATATGGAGGAGTAGCTGCACAATCACCTAAAATCAATTTAGTTATTGTTATTACCTTCTAATAATGCTACAATGAAAAGTGTGAATATAATTTAGTTGATACACAACATGTCAAGTTAAAATGTATTTCAGTTCATTTGTCTGGCATATGAGAATGTGTTTGGGTGCATATGAGTGCCTATGTTTGCTATGCAAGGGATATATCAGTGCAGATAAAACAAAGGGGGGTTTTTGCCTGATTTTCAGTGGGAGCTGTGGGTGTGCAGCATTTTTAAAAATTGGATTACATTTTAAAAAATTACATCAGGTCCTTTTTAAGTGTCTCAGTTAAGCTCTGCAAAAACTGGAGTACCCCAGGCTTCATGCATTAAAGCAAAAGTCCCCATACATATCTCCCTTGCATGGGGACAAGGAGTCCACATCTGTAGAGAGCTCTGCTAAATTCAGAAAAATTATGGAGGGGTGCCTTGAGTCTAAAAAGGCTGAGAAACACTAGCTTAGATTTTGGAGCACAATTCTGCAGCAAATTCTACAGCAAGTGAATCACAAGTATTCAGGTTTGATTTTTTTTTAAATTAATCAGGAGATATTAAAGAATAAAGCACACCACTGAGCAATCTATGAGGTGGTTATACCTATATCTAATATCAAACAGGACAAACTCACTATAATGCTGCTAGTAGGAACTGTTAAGATTTCCCCTATTCGCTTCAAGAGGCTGCTGACCACCAGCAAAGTTGAGTAAGCCTTTTAACTGTTTCACTCATGATCAAAGCATCCAAGGCAGGAGAAAGAAAATCAACTTGTGAATTTTATTATGGTGTCACTTTGTAGTATCTCACATAGGTGGAGTTTGTTTGTAGTAAAACTTAGGGAACTACCACTGTGGTTTTTTCCCCATCTGCATCCCAGACTAGTTTTTATAAAGGCTCTATGCTCAGGTATGTAGTAAAATATGAACATGCTATATACTGTAAACCAAGTTTTGTGAGACTGAGATTATAACTCCACTTCAGTAGAAGGTCAGTTTGCATCTTAACAGTTTATTTAAATTTACTGAACCAAAGAAATTAAAAATAATACATTAACAAATAGTTTCCCTTTATTATTAGCAGTGCAGTAATATGAATAGCCAGACATCTTATCACCCCAACAAGCTATGTACAAAACTGGTAGCTCTAATTGGGCTGCGGTGAGTTAAATTTTTGAGTTATGAAAATAAATCCTTTCATTTTCTATTTTTCTAAAATATGTTATTAGAAAAATCCTTTTAACTGTGAGGAAATATTTTTCTTTAAATATAAAAGAGTGTAATTTCAGGAAATGCAAAAACTAATAACAAAGGTAAAGACCAGAAAGTGTACTTGGAGCCCAGTCTTGTTTACTTCATTCATGCAAGTATTGTTATTCCTCTAGATCAGGATTTTCAACCTGAGAGTTGTGAGCTACAGCAGTATTCACTTATGTTAATCTTCCTAATAACTAAAGTGAGACTGCTTGTGTGAATAAGGCAATTGGGATTCAGCACTGAATACATATTGATTAATAAGAACCTACAAAACTTCCACCATTAAAGTGTAAATGTACTGTTGAGGAAATTTTTTTTTTGTTGGATTATTGTGACATTTAGAGACAAGACTGCCATTGGCATATGCCATATGTAAAAATAAGTGAAGAAACACACACACGTGTGAAGACCCATTTAAAGGTATGTGATAACTAACCTTGTTTTCAATTTGCATTAAATAGTACAGAATTAAAGTCTGCTAATAAATCTCTAATGCACATTTTTAGCATCATATGCAACATCGCCTTGCTCAAAGATTGAAGCAGCCATCTGGATGTGAGTCAATGCTCAAGAATGAAAATCGATTTGCATTAGGAAATACAGAGGTTTTTACTCTAAAGGTAAGAATTGGTGAACATCATCCATTTTACAGCCATAGATTTGGAAGCAGGGCCTGAGTTAAGTTGGGTGGCAATAAATGTTTTAAGTTAGGGCTGTCCAACTTCTAAGCAGCTGGAGGCCAAACACCACACAAGCTGCTCCAGCAGGGGCTGTACCTCTGCAAGCCACACCAGCATGAGCCACAGACTCTCCCAGGAGAGTTTATTAGCATGCCATGTGGATGCCTGCCCTGCTGCACTGCACAGGTGCCACCTTCTGCTTCACTGTGCACCTCACTATTGTACCATGTCCCTGAGTGGGACCTAACACCCCTCACAACTGCATTGCACATGTGCTTCCCCCCTCCCCACCCCTCATATCATCTGCCTGCCTCGCCCTAGCCATACTGCCCTGCCCTGCCCTGCCCTGCCCTGCCCCCTGGAGCAGAGGCAGGCAGCAAAAACCAGAAGAGGGAGGGGAAGCCTGGAGACTCCAGCTGCTGTTTCAACTGAAATGATGGGGGAGCAGTTGCCAGGTAGGAGCCCAGGGGCTGCAACTTAACACCTCCCAGGCCACATGCAGCCCATAGGCTGGCCACTAGTTGGGCAGCCCTGTTTTAGATGAAGACAAATTGTATCTGATTATTTGGGAGGGTGATGGGAGCACAAAGAGTGGGCTCAGGGAGTGTGGTTCCTCAACAAGTGCTCCTTTGACCTCTCTCATCCTATGTTGTTAGTTTTCCAATTGGTCTTTCCCTTGGTATCCCCTTGGGCAGCGTATTTTTCAGTGACACTTTCTTTCTTCCCACCCTGAGAGAGCAATAAAAATGATTAGAAACATCAGCTGCATGTGGGGAGAGAGGGACAAGGTTATACAGATGAAGATCAAGAGATTCACTTTGCAGGAAGAAACAATAATCCGAAAGGGAGTTTCTAAGGAGTTGAAAGAGCTTTCCATTTGGCATCATGAGGTCCTTGCTTGTACATGTGTTTCATGTGCTGTGTTTGTATCGCTCCCAGTCCTAAGAACAGAAGGCCAGGGCTCAAATTTCAATAAGAATTTTATCACTAGCCACCAGTTCAGCCCCTGGTGGTCTATGCACATGTATAACTCCTGCTGATGTTGATGGAAATTAGGATTTTTTTATTTCTCTGCAGCACAAAGAAAAAACTATAGATCAAGACAGAGGTTGTCATGCAAATTCCCGTACATTTACAGATGAATCTCAATGTACGGATAAAAGCAGTTTGCAAAGTGAAGAAGAGTTTTTTCTCAAAAGCAACAAGACAGAAATGCCAAGAGGGATAAATGTAAATAGCTGGGATCTGCCAGCATTGAAAGAAGAAGAGATGCCTTTCTCAAAGGGCCACAAGATCAGGGTTGACAGGGAAAGCAGCGGAGTGATGACAGACTGGTTGAATAACACCTCACTAAGAACAGTTTTAACTAAAAATGAGTATACCTGGAAAGATAATGGAGCAGATGGACTTGTCTACAATGAGTATTTATTTCGAACTACTGATCAGCTGAAGTCCCATTCTGCAAGCAAGGTGGAAAAAACTAAATTATACGCTGCCATGTTGCCAAGGATCTGGGATGTCCCCGCTGATCTGGGAGATGATAAACAACAAAACTCCCCTGACATTGAAATTGATAGAGCTGCAATAAGAGGATATATCAGTACGCCATGTTCAGTCAGAAAGAGAACATTTATGGTCTATATTTGTGGAGGCTATCAAGGTATGACATCTAGAAAATGGCTCTAATCCCTTTGCAGACTCTCTTCACCCTGAGATTCCTGGTTTATCATGCACTGCACCTGAACTCATCATTGTTCACTATTTGCAGTTACCAGAATTGTGGTAGGTAGTGTGCTTTGGAGAAAAAAAACAAGAACAAAAAAATGCATTAGGCTTAGGAGTGAGGGCAGTTTGGTTCTTTTCTTGACTGGTATCAGATGACTGTGCCATAAGCAAGTTGCTTCACTTATTCTCCATTTCCCTTTCTACCCAGAAGGCTTAATAAAGCACACCTACCCACTTCCTGGGGTTAAAGTCAGTTTCTTTTAACTTACTATGTAAATACGAAATTGAGGGGAGAAAGGAAAATCCTGCCCTGAAGAACTTGGTATTTAAACAGGCATTACACAGTCTCAAAGTGTGTGTGTGTGTATCAGGGGAAGCAGCAGTCATCTGCAGTTTTTTATTTTTAACAGGCGTGTCCAGGATCCTACCAAACATCAAATGAATATGGATAAGTTAGACTACAAAAACTCAAAATACTACACCAAAATACTTCCAACCCTCAAATCCTGAAGCTTCCTACCTTCAACCTTGCTTTATTAGAAATTGCCAGATTATGTTTCCCTGTTTCTGTCTGTGGTGTGGAGGTACCATTAGTCTTAGTAGAAACGGTGGGAATTCAAGGCACAAGGCAGTTCCCTGGGTTGTTTTTATTTCAATACAGTTATCAAGCATGCTGTATTTATGTCTAATACATTTTAAAGATGACAAAATAGTTTTGTAAGGTGATTTAAAATGCATGCAAAAAGATACGGCAAAAGTTTACATACAGGAACAAATCACCAAGTTTGATTTTAACTGCGAGGCCCTTATGTTAAGTAAATGCAGTTTCCAACATGCAAAGAAATGCTGTTCCCAAAGCTTCCGAAGTTTGGCTTTAGATTTTCATTCAGACTTTTGAGTAACCTGAATTTCAGGGCTATTGTAAACTTGGAGTTTGGTTGTCACATAGTAGAAAGAGGGGGCCATAGCCTCTCTGATTCTGCTACCCTTGGCAACTGTTCATTTTGTTCATAGGATTGTGGGGGGACAGGACAACAGTCCAAATATAGATCCAGATTTTAAATATCTGGGAGTATGTAAATTTCTAATGGTCAATGTACATCCTATGAGGAGAACTATTAAAATATGCAAGATTCATTCAAATACTGACTATAATGCAATCATGCTAAGATACAATGTATATATATAGCATTTAGTTATAAACTAAAAAATCCATCCACCTTCATAAATAAAATGCTCTCCAAACGCTCTCCTTTTTATTTGAAAAATTGTGATTCTGTTGCCTCTCAAATTTTTGTTTCATCATCAAATACTGCAAAGCTATCATGTTTATCAGTATAACAATTTATATTCACTGTGCTTGTTTTCACATCAGATTCAGAAGAGGAAAGAAATGAATTAATGAAAAGATCATACCCACAGCTATACAGTTACTGTAAAGAACGAGGCTATGATTTCCAGATGCTGGACCTGAGGTGGGGACTAACAGATGGTGTCAGCAATGATCACCACATGGTTTCATTACACCTGGAAGCTCTGAAGAAGTGTCAGGAGTTAGGACAGCAGATGTTCTTTGTAAGCTATGGTTTTATTTGCTGTGTTTAATTTGTAATATTTTTTAGGATTTGTATTCATTTTATATGGCAAACAGCATGTATCTGACAAATCCAGAACATGGAAAAAGAGAGGTTATTTGAAGATAATCTACTGATTAATGTTGAGTCAAGCCTCAGAACCATTTACTGAAGGTATAGACCAAGTCTATATTTGTCTTCTGTGTATGTTTGTTTTCTCCTTAGCGTTTTATCATTATATATTCAGGTTTTCATTGGGCAAAAGCATGATGATCCTGTCATCCCACATACCATATCAAAGGAGAATTTAGAGGCAATTAAAAACACAATTGAAAGCCTGAAGTTGGTTGCAATACAGCAAAAGCAGAACATGTCAAGTGGTGTAAAGCTTGATGGAACAAAAGAGGCAGTTCTAACTAAGAAAACAGAACATGTAGATGATAATCATACTGACACTTCTAAAGAGTTTCTGGGAACAGGCAAGTCATCAGAAGAAAATATAACTGAGATGCGTGACAATAAAGAATTGGAATCAAATATTTCAGATGAACAGGATTTGTCTAATACATCCCCTCTCACAGAACATAAATCTGCAGCTGAATATGAGAAAGAGTTGCGGCTTCTTAATCAGTGGTACAGATTGGATGAAAATTATGTCCCAAGTGTTTACAGCCTGCAGCCCATCAGGTTAGAGTTCTATTACTTCTGCTTTGAAGTTATGAATTTAGGAATATATATGTGTGTGTATATATATATATATGTATATATATATGTTTTTAATTTCAAACCATTTGAGAGATTGATTTATTTTCAGTTAATCCAAAATTGGATCACTTCAAAAAAATCAATGAAAGGTAAATTACTAAGCAGCTGAGTAAAATAAACATTCCAGCATGAGGAGCTGCAAAAGAGGATGAACTTAATGAGCAAGGCAGTGCCTTTCAGCTTTTTCTGCAATGTAATGGTGTCTGTGGTTAAATGAACAACACAGATACAAATAGAAAGTATTACTTAAAACGAAATCTACTTTTGTGATGTTAATAATTATACTAATATTTTTTCATAGTTTTCATATGATTTGTCTCATTCTTCTGCATAGCACATTTTACAAAGACATATTCAGCAAGGATCCTGTACGCAAGCAGCAAGCTAAAAGCAAATGGCTGAGCTCTTTTCAGAAGCTACATAAGATACTTCAGGAATATGCTTCAATTGCTGTTGGCCAAGACACAGCGAGTATGCTACTTAAAACAGGTGAGTTGTGAAGATACAGAAGAGAAAAACATGTCACTTAATTGGAATGAGTAACAATACATTGTTTCCAGGATAAAAAATAGTAGACTCCACTAGAAAAGAAATGGGCAAATAATTTGGAGGAGCTGAAATATCTTTTTTTTTTACTGATAGCCTGCACATTTTTTACTGGCAACCAAACTTTTGTACTGTGATTGGTGTTAAACCACTTAACTTTAATCTGGCCCCTGTTCAGGACCTGGCAGAAGGGTTACATTTACATTATATAAAACAGTCAACAAAAAAGTTTGGTTGTCAGTAAAAAAAAATTGTCTTGAGTTGGCAACTGTGTTCACAGCAGCCATAATCATTAAAACATAGCTATTGTCTAATTTAGTAGAGTTTACTAGGAGTATTGGCCTTTATATATGACACTAGCAAAACACAATTTTCAGATACTTACTTTTGTCCTAGTATCTTGCCTATTTTCCAAGCCACTTTTTTCAGAATATTATTTTAAGTGATCAAAGTTTAATTTTAAAAAGTGTGTTTGTATGTGTATGTACCCACATGCACACTAAGAATCAGACTATGTTTTCCCTTTGTAAGTTTTGCAGCAAGAGGTTGATCAAGGGCTCTGTGTCCACGGCTTTCCTGAAGACCATTGCCACTGCTTCAAGAGGGACATCTGTGACTTGCAATTCAACTTGTCCAGAAAACAAGCTTCAAAATATATTGATGTCCATCCTCTGAAACCAGAGATTAATATAGGAATGTATGAAGCACACCAGAACTTCATAAAAAGCATTTATACAAGGGTATGCTAATTATCATTTTCCAATAGCTTGGTTCTGCCCACTGCATCGGGCACTAGTCAGGAAAAAAATAGTATTTTGTGTATCTTCCCATGCATCCAACTTTTTGCTTTTTTTTACACTGCTTCCTGCAACTGCAATGACATGTCTTCTTCAAAGCCAAGTGTTTTTAATTTTCCATCAGACCTTTTATCACAACTTACTACTTTCACCTTGTTTTTTCCTGCTTTGATCTTCATTCCTGCATATGCTACTTTTGCCCTAACTTCAGTCTTCTAAGTCACCCTCACATATCACTCTTATTTGTTATATCCTTTATTTGACTCATCTTTACTTCAGTGCTTTGTCCGTTAGCTCTATCTTCTGTTTTTGTGGACAGGGTCTTTCTGGAAGAACCCATCCTGAAAGAGACATGGAAAGCTAGTGTTATGTAAGGCTCATATTATACCACTCTTAATTCATGTTGAATGTTCCGTGAGGAGTCACACTGAGACCAGTTATGGAATAATGTATTATTCGGTGTGAGATGCAAATCTGAACCTTAATATGTAATAACAGTATTAATAGCTATTAATTGATTAATCCACATGTTGTGTGGATCTAATGAAGACCAAGAAGTGTTAAAATATGAGACTAAAGTGTGTTCTTGGACATACTGCAAGCATGAGAACTGAGCCAATGACTTTATTTATTTATTTTTTGCAAGTGAACTCACAGCAAAGCAATTTGTATCCATCTATTAAGGATAATATAACAGTTGTAAGCAGTATGAGTGCATAATTATTTTTGGTTTCTCTCTACCTTAATTTTCTCCTTAAGTCTTCTCCCCAGCCCCCAAACAATGTTCCCTCTAAGGAGCAGCGGTCCGTGACTGCACCACCGTGGTCCGTGAGCGCGCTGCCTCGGTCCAGCGTGGGACACTTACCGAAGTGGGCTGAAGGCCGGGGCCCAGAGGCTGGAGCTGGGGCCGCATGCTAGGGACCGGAGGCTGGGGCCAGGGGCTGGAGCTGGAAGCCGAGAGCCAGGGGTTGGGACCAGGGGCTGGGGAGTGGAGCACTTCCCCGGAGCTGGTGGACCCTGCGCCAGCCGTCCACGCCAGCCTCCATCCCTGCCTTGACTCACCTCAGGGAAGAGCCACTGCCTGCCCCAGTGAGGCTCCGCCAGCCTCAGGACACTGCTCCGCTCCCCGGCCCTGACGCCACGTGCCTCCTTGCTCCCTGAGGCGATGTGAGGGAGCGGAGCAGTGTCCCGGAGCCAGCAGAGCCTCACTCAGAGCAGGCAGCAGCTCCTCCCCGAGGTAAGGCAAGGCAGGGATGGAGGCTGGGGCGGGGGCTGGAGCGGGCTCTGCTGGCTCCGGGTAGGTGCTGCACTCCCCGGTCCTGATGCGGGGTAGCGGAGCACTTCCCCAGAGCCAGCAGAGCCCATACCAGGCTCTCGCCCCAGCCTCTCCTGGTGCACGGCCTTGAAAAGGCTGTGCGCGGCCACACTTTTATTTGTGCACGGCCACACACGTGCACGCCTTAGAGGGAACCTTGCCGCCAACCCCATTCAACTGTGTACTTGACTGTGCAGATTTATAAAGCAGAATCCACATTATCAAGTTTCCTATGTTTTATTCCCTATCTTTGCTACTTTTTCCTTCCTCCTTCATCTGTCAAGGTGCGGTGGCAGAGAGGTTAAGGTATCATTTCTGTTAATCCAGAAGCGTGTGTTCAAGCTTTGGTTTGGATTTGTGCCAAAGCCTGTCTCCAGTTGGTTGGATACCCAGTTGTGTAAATGGGTACCTGCTCATTCAGATGATGGGAGTCAAAGGTGGCTTATTACAGTGTTAGCTACACTATTTCCTTGTTCACCATTACATACAGAAACTGGTATATCTTATTCATACTGGGCCAATGGGCCATGTGAGTTTGAATGGATCTTTTCTGACCTTCATCTCGGTTTGACTCATTTGTCTCCCTATATTTCTAAATATCTTTTCACAGTTCCTCTTTGCTCCTTTTCTTTATTTTTAATGAAACCAATTTTTCAACTTTTTTTTTTCATTTCTATCTACAATCCAAACACTATGAAGTAAAAACTGTAAAGTATAAAAAAAATCATACAGAGTTGTTGGAACTTAAGCCTTACTACATTTCGCGGCTAAAAGTCACACCGATGAATGACAATTTTTAATCCAAGATTATTATTTTTTTGTTACAAGGACCATTTTGGGTTCCTTTTATTTGTACAGCATTGTTTTCCCTGTCTTTACAGCTCCATCACACTAATATATATGAAAAAAGTATTAGCTGGGGAAAAAAGGGGATTGATCCTGCCAGCAACAGATCCCATGCCTACTACCTTGAACGCCTCTGCAATGACTTTCAAAAAATAGTCATCACTCACTTCAGCAGGTCGGTTGCATAGCACTGTCTATAGAGACAAAAAGGGGAAAGAATACATCGTATGGAGAGACGAAAGACATGCTCCCATTGGTCTGAGTTTCATCTGCACTAAGTTACTGAAGAATTCTTTCACATTCAAATTAATCATAAAACAGGCTCGAGAGGAACAAAAGCCTGAAAAAACTGAGCTGACACGTTGCCTAGTTTGCAAGACTGGTATTTACAACAGGGGTTTTGTTTTAATTTTTACATACTAGTGAATGGTCTGATTGAAAACAAGTAAAAGACCATGTGAAAATCAAGCATTTCAACAGAATATGAAAATTTGGAACTAGAAAGTTGCTAGTTTTGCTGTCAGTGATAATTCTATAGTCTCACTCGCTGTCTTTATTTGATGTGTGGTTGTTAAGACAGTGACCAGTACTGCAAACCATACAACTGCATTGGGCTTTGTATTAAATTTAATGCCAGGCACTTTGGTGGTTACAAAGAAATTTTGAGTTGTTGTAAGAAGTACCCTTGAAATGACTAAGATAACTGAAATGAATCTTAATTTTTTTGTGCATGCTCCTACTCTCTTAAAATAATCCAATCATTCATATATGTTTAAGAGCATAGCTTTCACCCTAGATAACCTTCAGATGTTTTTAATACATCATGAAACTATTTTTTTGGCTTTGCTAGTCACTGTTAAGGAAAAAATATTCATTTATCTTTGACAAGCTGTGAGTATGTATTTTTTCCTGGAGTGGGAAAGTAAATCTATTTAACTTAGAGCCTTTTTTTCTGCTTTTCTTTGATTAGGCTGATCAAATCAAAAAAAATTCCAGATGTGTTGGATGCAAGGAGAAGAAAGCAAATACTCCAAATTCACAGGGATGAAGAGATCCTAGAACACATCCAGCATTGCCAGGGACTGTGAGTTCAGCAATGGGCTGCTGCTTCTTTTATACACATCAGCACAAAACAAATGGAACATGGTTTGGTTAAAAGAGGAGTTAGGATAGTTTACCCGACTAAAATTTTACTGAGATTTTTCCTTTCATGTGTCAGGATATCACTGTTTTCTTTCTGGCTTTGTATGCATGTGAAAATCCTGCACAGGACATCTAAATCGGGGCAATAGTTGCTGGGTTTAATTTTTATTTTGTTTTACTTTTTCTAAAGAAACAGTTTGCTGAGAAGATTTTAGAACAAGTGCAGATTTCAATCTCTATTTTCCGGATTGAAATTCCAATTTCAATTTCCATTTTCACCCATCCTCATTTTCTGAATAAGACAATGTACCAGATAATTGCTTGGGTAAAGTGAAAAATAGATGAAGTGAGGTCCCAGGCAGCAGATATCATCTCAGCCTGCACTGAGACTTGTTGCAAAGGTTAAAAAACGGTGTCCAGCTTTGCCTGCCTTTCTCTCAGATTCTAGTAGAAGGGAGTGAAGTTTTTAGGAAGCTTAGGTTAATTGCCCATGATCAACCATTTCTGAGAGAATATAATGGAGTGAAAAGAATTTTATGCTTCAGATGGGTTAGGCCCAAGCTTTCTCTGACATTAAAATGTGCTTTATGATTGTGAAATTTTATGCACACATATTAATTTAGATAAACATTGTCGTCTAGGATCAGCCCAGATTGCTGGTCATTATGTTAGTGTGTATTTTATTCCATGAGAAAGGTGGCAAATATTGCTTCCTGCAAGTCTCATTGTGTTATATGACCTATGAGTCAGACTCCATGCTAAACTCCTTGGTCACAGAAAATCAACATTCTTATAGTTCAGCTATCATAGATACAGTTACCTTGGGAACACAGTTGAGGCTGGTTACTGGTCCCTTTCCAGGTTGTCTGCTTCCAACTAATAAAATACCTGAATCTAGAATATACTGACTCCTAAATAGACTCTATAGAGACTCTAGAATATACTGACTCCAGTTCCCAATCTACAGCAGAGTGCATAGCGTGCATGCATGGCAGATGTCAACAACCCTCTTTAATAAACACAAGTAAATATACTCTCTTTCTGATGGAGAATTAGAGAGTGTCACTAAGCACAATTTCCCTGTCAAATTCCAAGGGACAAAAATGAGTAATGACATTTTTTGGAAATTAAACAAATTAAAAAAAAACAAACCAGCGGTATATTTTGAGCATCCCTTCATCACTGGTTCTCCATGGGGCCAGCTTAATAACATGCTCCCTTAGTCTTCATGAATGGAAAACAGTATGGAGCTTGCAAAAATAATTTGGAACATTGGTCATCTAGTAGAGAAATTAAACACTTACATGTTAAAATGTCTGTTTCATGAATGGAGTGATGATGATGAGGTAGTTTGATTCAGTAGTATTAATTCAGACATAACTTACTGAGAAATTTGATAATCTAATTGAAGAATGGGCAGTTGTCTGAAGTTATGATTGACTAGCCTAGAAAAAAAAACTATAGCTATATTAGATGTGTGGGGAAAATATGAAATAATGGGAAAACAAGGCATACAAAACTGAGGAAAAGATTATTTCATTATCAGTAAGGGTGTGTCTTTAATTTACCACTTTATGTAAAAAAAACAACTTTGGGACGGTGAGAATTTCAATACAGAAAATAGATAAAAGTATGATGAGATTGAACTTCTGTTTCTCACAAAGAAAATGTTTCTTTAAAGTTGGAAAATTTACTGCCTTGACTTTCTTTGCCCCTTCACCTTGGTTTCCTTGTTTTCCAAATTATATGAGGGATTTGTGACACTAGCTTAAATTTTTAACACTGGCTTTTCGTGCTTCCATGTCTACCTCCATTTCATATAGGATTAAATGTGTCATAGGAAGAGAAACTTTTCTCTGTCATGTGAAGAATCAGATTTTATCTTCAAACAGAAAATTAATTGTGTTGCATGGAGAGGCAGGAAGTGGAAAAAGTACTCTCATGGCAAAGGCAGCATCCTTAGCTCCTCATTGGATACCAGGGTAAGGATCACTCAGACTGATGGAAAACAGAAAATGTATATTGTTGATACGAAGGACGTTCTGTCTCTTCCCTTGGCTCGCTAGAACAAGTAGCAGGTATCAGGCTCTTTGTATATGAAGCTTGGCTTAAGAATTCACTGTTGGGGTCCATATTAATGTAAAAGAAATTCCTTTCATAACATATCCAGGGGTTTTGAAAATTAAAATATTGGTGTGAGACATGTTTTTGCCATTTAACCTGTTTAAATAGATGTGGATTTGAGGTTATATGAGTTTAATGAATGAGCAAATGACAGATCCATTCAACTGTTGCTGGGTGAGAGCAACATAAAATCAGGCAGCCTAAGGGCTTTGGTGGAGAGACCTTAATGATATTGTCATTATGCCAAACAACCTGCTTAAGATCAAGAAGTAAGCTTTTGTGGAAAAACAGCATTTCTTTCTTTCACAGGGACCTCAGAGTCATAATCCGATTTATTGGTGTTACTGGTGAAAGCAGAAATGTCCGATTGGTTCTCTTAAGCCTTTGCTACCAAATTGCTGACATTTACCAGATCTCCATAAACTTATCAGAGGTAACAAAAGTAAATCTCAGTTTTGCTTCGGTGGTGCACTGATCAATGTTCTTTTTGTAAGATTACAAATCATATGGTGATTCTGCTACTAAGATAACCAATTCATTCAGGACACAGCATGGTTATGATTTAATATATTGTAGTACAGGGGTGGCCAACCTGCAGCATGAATGCCACAAGTGGCAAAGGCAGCCTCTGTGTGTAGCATACAGCAGACTGGGGAGGAGGCAGGAAGCATATGGGCAGATAGGGCAGGGAGCAGAAAGCAGATCAGTGAATCGGGCAGAGAAAGGGGATCAGAGTGGCACTCGGGTGGGTGTGGGGCTAATTTGCGGCACACCTACCAAAAAGGTTGGCCCCCACTGCTATAGTCTGTAATACCATTATTGTGGGAGGCCTAAATTTTGTATACAACTATAAAGCACACTTAATTTTCACAATCCTCTTTTTAAATTGATAATCCTGTGTAGACACGTATAGTCCCATATACATATAAAGCACAACTAATTTAAACATATCATTTCATTTTTCCACTGCAGATATCTTTTATCTTTGATTGCCAGTATCTAGTTACCTTTATTCCCTCAGCCTTTGAAAATATACCAGCCTGGTCACAACAATGTATTTTCCTATTGTTTCTTTAAACCTGTAACAAGATGCAAGCAGGAAAGGGTATGGGGCAAGGTCTCTACTGGTAGCCATCAAGAAGTAGTGTGGCAGATCCTTATGTGTTGGTGTGGCAGCGCCAAAGATGTGGTTTACATCGGGACCTATACTATCCATCTGGTGCGGGGCCCCTCCCCTCAACTCACCTGCCACGACTTGGTGTTACTGAATGAAAGGGAGGGGTTCAGTGGAGATCTTCTTCCTGGGGGACCCTGGGGACGGTAGTAGTCATGGTCTTGACGTGATGTTCCGCAGGGCTCCACCTCCCCTACACCCCGTCCACTTGCCAACTGAATGGGTGACGCCTGCGTAGTTCAGCCATGCCCCGTCGACCCCTCTCATAAGGGGGACCAGCATTAGCGTGGGTTCTGGTGGGCTAGCCCTGTTATCACTACAGCTAGCATCTCTGCCTCGGATGCTGACAGGCTAGGCTTCTGTCGGCTGGCATCCTCCTTGCTGCCTCTGGGCGGGACGCCTCTAAAGCTCTTTATCAAGTAGACCGCTGGAAAGGGGGGCGGGGTGGAGAGGTGGTGGAACTGCCTCCTCCCTCCCAGCCTTCTACAGGGCCTCAGCTTCCCCTGGCTCTGGATGCTGGCACTGAGCCGGCTGCAGTGCTCCTGCCCACCACAGGAGCCTCAACACACTGGGCGTGCTCCACACCGGTGTGCTCCCTCTCCACTCCCCAGCTGGGTTCCGGTGGGGCTTTTAGTCTTCCCATGGTGGCTGCTCCAGCTGCTGCAATTGGCTCCGCTGTTCCCTGCCCGGGGAACAGCTGATTAAACAGCTGGCGTAATGCTGCCTCGCACAGCCACGGCTCCTCCTCCAGGTCCGGCTGAGCCCCCGAAGGTAAGTTTCCCGGTGGAGGGGCTGCTTGTGCGGCTTGGGGCCCACAGGGACTGCCCCCTCCCCTTTGGGAGCCTGTGGGGGCATCTTGCCGCCACAGTTGGAAACTGTCATAGCTGCATCCATTGAATGGCAGTTTACATGCGCTGAGAATCCTGTTAATGTCAGGGATAATGCTGTTTATGCTTGTAACATATTTTATTCAGCGTTAAAAGAAAGTAACTCAGATTTTTTTTTACGATGGGCATATGGCAAAAACTCTGATCATATTAGTGAAAATGATGAGGAATCACACTTACGGAACGAAGAAAACTTTCTGAATCCTATAAAAATGCATTGACCAGAAACATCAAATTTCAAGTCTCCAAGTACATGTCAAGAATGAAAATGCTTTCTAAAGAGGATGTTTTCTTAAAAGAAATATAGCTCAACCAGTTCATTATATTGTATGTTAATGTCAAGAGAGCTATCTCACAAGCCCGGTCTCCACACCAAGCCACCCCCTTGTTAATGAGCAAACTGCCTGTCTCTTTCATTTGCCATGCCTTGCTGTTCAATTGTTCATTTATTAATAGGTGGGAGGCTGCCCTTTGCAGGCCCAGCAGTACCATGGGCCCTACATACACACTCCGAACTCCCTTTACACATGTCCTATGCCTCGCAGATAACACACTCATTGACCTTTTTCTTGGCCTCCAACCTGGTGCCACACACTGAGCCTTTATCTTCCTCAGCCCAGCACCAGTTTTCATCAGCCTTGTACCAGCCCTCCATCCTGGTGGCACACACCGGGTCTCATCCATGGCCTAGCACCTGGCCCTCAGTTTTCATCAGTCAGGTACTGGACTTCCACACTGGTGGCACACATCAGGCCTCGACTTCCTCAGCCTAGCTTCAGGGCCCCAGTTTTCCTCAGCCATGGCCAATACTGTCCTGCACCTCCTTTCTCCAGGGGTTCCCAACTGCCACTTATTTGCAGGGCCTCTCAACTATGCCCCTCTCACATCGCTCCTTTTTCCAAGACCCCACAACTGCCACTCTTGTGCAGCCCTTCAGGTGCCCCTCTGCACCCTACTCTGCACCTCTGCCTCCACAATGAGGCACATACTGTGCTTGGCCCACCACACTGCCCTGCTCCTAGGGCATGGGGTCAAACACCTCGATAGGCTCAGGTGCCCTTCTCAGCATATCTGGCCCACTACACTGCCCTGCTTCTAGGGCATGTTAACATACCCACCTATGGTGGGGGCAGGAGTTTAAGTACCCCAACCTACCTTACACCGGGGAGGTCCTCAGTCCTGGTATTTGAGTGGCCCTGCCCCACCACAGGCTGGACCACCAGGCCTCCCTATCCTGGCAAGGTACAGTTTCAGGTCATGTCCAGGACCAGTGAGGCCTCCTCCTTCCCCATAGCCTCACCCTTACCTCCAAGGTGTTCCTGGAGCAGGGATTCAGCCAGATGTTGCCTCCACAGCTGCTACCACAAACTGCTCTCCTGTGCCCTTATAACTAAGCTCTGAAAATGGCCACCATCACCAACCAGCCCCCTTGCTCCAGCCCATAAAGTGACGTCGCACTGAACCTGCTCCGTCACAGTGGATCAACACCAACTGGTGTAAATAGAGATAGGCTTGGATGATTAGTTCTGATCTGATTATTTGTCACTGAATTTTGAAGACATTACAGATTAGGTCTACCTCTACTTTTAAAAGCAACTGCATCTAAGTTTAAAACTAAAAATTGATTGTAATTAAAATTACTACATGATGGGACTGTCTCAGATTTTGTATTTTTTTTAAAAGCACACGTGCTAGAACCTGTTATTTTCTGCGGCATTCTGCTGTTTCATGACCAGCAGATGCAGCGGAAATTAACTACAGTACTAATGGAGGACAATCCCGAAAGCTTATCAAATGCAGAATTTCAGTGTTTTAACTTCAGTCAGAATTGGGCAGGCAAGGGACTTTCTGATCTCTATAGATCTCATTATTGTACTTAGGGGGAGCATCTCCATGTTCATTAATGTGCCATTATTACTTCGCATTAAGTTATTACCTGTTATTACCTTTCAGTTAGCACTTGTTATTAGTCTACTGTACATTAATTTAGCACCTTTTGTTAAGTCACAGCAATAGTGCTTTAAATGGTGAAAAAAGCAACTTCTGGTTTGGTCAGGGAGGCCTCTGAACAGTCCTACACTTTCCAGGCTAGGAGACAAGGGGTACTTCACAGCCTCCTGGGGCTTCTCCACTGGTCAGAAATTTGACCAGTGTACAAAAGTTATTTAAAGCACTATAGGCTACTAAAGTGCTGTAAAATATAGGATTTCAAATTTAATATCTCATCTAACAAGGGGTAATTTTAAGTGCTGTACCCATTTTTAAAGTGCTGCAGAGTCATGCCCCTTTGTTAAGTCACAGTAATAAATCACTTTAAATGACAAAAAAGCAACTTCTGTACACACCCTGGGTGCATCTACAGAGACACTAAATGTGAAGTAGACTAATTCTATTGTACATTAGCATGTCATGGCAAAAACCATGCTAATGCGCAGTAGAATAAGTCTACTGCACATTAGCGTCACTAAAAAACTGCACCGGTGCTACTGTGCAGTAGTGTTGGTTACTGCACATTAAGTTAGTACCTGTAATAAGTGACCAGTGGAGAAGCCCCAAGAGGCTGTGGAGCGCTCCCTGCCTCCTAGTCTGAAAAGTGCAGGGAGGCTCAGAGGCCCCTCTGATCAAACACTGCACTTCTGTCATGTTTAAGAACTCTGTCACCTTATAGTGCTATAAAAAGTGCTCTAAATTATAGCACCGTGAAACATGCATGGAGCACTTCTGTATACCCCCTTAGCAGCTAATTTGTGTTCAGATAGCTTACAGGATTTGGTCAAACGTGTAATTTAGCGTAATAATGCCAACACAGATTGATAAGGTAATTTCATACTTGGTTATAAGTATGGAAGGCAAAAACAGTATTTAGCAAATAGGAAAAGACAATGTGGATAAGAAAAGAGTCCTATAAAATTCATTGACTTTTTAAAAGATATCCCAAGTCCTTTTTATTTCGGGGGTGGGGGGATGGTTACTGATCATTCTGCATATCTTAAAGTTAGTATTGGAGCCAGGTAAAAATATACATATACCCTTCTTTGAACTTAGATCTGCTGATCTGTTTTTTGGGGTTTTTTATGGAAAACTTTTGGGTACAACAATGATGAGAATCAGAGAAAACTCTAAAGTTAGATACAGGTTTCCTTCATTTTATATGAGTTATGTATGTGCAAATTCATTCTTATGCGATGACCCTTTATATACCAAAAATTTGTTATATGCAAGGTAAATTCACTCTTATGAGACCAGTGTGGTGGAAGCCCACAGTCAGCTGCTTTGTGCACTGCATTGTAGGAATGATACACAGCAAAATATAGTCTCCAGTGTGGATCTGTGTTCCTCGTTCGTTGTCTGCGACAGTTTTCTGTAGTTGCCATCCCCATTATAGTAACACTTGCCACCACCCTGTGCTTGTGTGTACTGTCTGCTGTTGGTGAGTACCAAAATTGTCTTGTAAAAGTGGTAGAAATGGGTCTGGGGGTCAGTACAGTCAAGGTCTTGCAACATATCCCTATTTGTTACATTGTAAAGTGGGTTCCCTTTATGCAAATTTGAGTTATATGCTGTTTTCCAGAAACGCATGTACAGCGTAAGTGAGGGAAACCTGTATCCTGTGTCAATGGCAGGCACTGACCAATTGCAGCTAGTGAGATGCTTTACTCCTACTCAGTGAAGCAGAAGAATGCCAATATGCACTCAACCAGCTGCTGTTAGCAATTTGTACTGGCAATCCATTCTTCTGCTGAGGTTACAATTGGAAGTATATCTGTTCCCCCTCATTACAACAGGGTGGATGGATTTAGCTGACACTATTTTATATTTAGTTCTAACGCTGAGGCATATAACTATTGTTTAAGCAATTTAAAGAAACTCTGCTGCAACCAAGAATGTTATTGATGTGCTTGTGACATTCAGTTGATTCCAAAATGGAAAACAGTAATAGCTTAATTTGCAAATAGCAACAAAAAAAATCACATTTGTCCTCCCTAAGTATTTTCAGTACTCAGAATTCATATGGCTGCTACTTCCAGCACTTACTTAAAGTCGCAGCATAATTCAGTGCAAGCTTCAGGGCAAAAGAAAATCTAGAGCTTCCAATTAAATTTAAAGCAAAACCAAGACTTGATAGTCCATAAAATATAGCATACTTAAAGTGATAAAAAATTGGTACAGCATGCCACTACATTCTCATTGATTTGACTCTTCCTTCTTTATGGTTACAAAGCAGCCCGTTCAAGCCAGCCTCATGTATAGGGATACTGTTGATGCACAGAGTAACATTCTGTTCAAATCCTGCTTACCTTACTTACACATGTATTCCACTGACATCTTAACAGATATCTGAATCTCTTGGGTCCTAGCACTGTGGTAGCACAGTATTTGTATGCCAGACAAACTGAGGACTTTGTCCTCTTCCACATCTTTTATATCTTTCCCAGTCAGGTCTCAGTACTTCCTACAAGAGCCAGATTTCTTCAGTGATCTCATTGTTACTGAAGAACCAGCCCGTCTCAGACAAAAGTGGTCACAGAGACATCTGGGTTAGGCATAAAACGCACCAAGTACAATAAGACAAGTATTTTCACATGGCTAAAAATATCCTCTTTTTCAAATAAGGATTTTGAAGCATTGGTTCAGGAGTTTGCCTCATTGCTGGAATTTGCTACAAAGGATAAAGCACTTCTGATAAGTCTGGATGGTTTAGATGAGCTGTCTGAGGAATATGGAGCTGACTTATCCTGGATACCCACAAAACTACCTGAAAATGTATATTTTATGGTTTCTACATCCACAGAATCAAACTGCTCATGCTTAAAAGCATTGAAGGTAAAATATTGTTTGTCTATTAAGGAACATAATGTATGTTGACATTTAATATCTAGTTTCACTCTTTATTATTCATGTTTGAGTATTTTATTTATTAAGGGAATAATGAAATGTGGTTAGAATAATTTAGGACACATATAACCAAATATACACAATTCAGAAAGAGTAAAAAATGTACATACTAACCCTCCAGAATGCAACCAAAAGCATTTCTGTCCATAATCACCTCCCCACTAAATAAATAAATCCCCTAAGATATATCCCCTTTGATTTATTTTAAACATTGTGCTTGAAAATTAAGACTGCCATCTACCCATGTGACTAATCTTTATTCAAGTGTTAGTCCATTGGTAACAGTGGAATCGTGCTTGTGAGCAAAGTCTCACAGAATCAAGTTCTTAACCTGTAAAGATCTAAATTTACAATGACCTGACCGTCTTCAGCTCCTATTGATTTGTATCCTGTTGCTGCAGTTGGAACTGTACAGATGGATCTTCTGTCCGTGGAGGTTGGTTAGGCCACAGAGGTCTGCTAGCACAGATCTGACTGCAGGAAAAGAGTAGTATAACAGGTGAAACCCAGAACTCTAGTCTAGTCTGTTGTTCTATAATTTTTAAGTCCATGTATGTTTGATATTTGGTTAGTGAACTCAGTTGTTAAACAGGTAATTTATGACAGATACAAAACAATCCTGCCATGTATTTTCATAGCTTGAAGCTTTGGACTATATTAGGAATACATGTGATTTAAAAAAATATTACAATGCCATGTTAATTTTACTATTATACTCTTAGAACGTGTTCAGGATGGTACAGTGAACAAATCCTAGCAAGAAATAGAGTAAATATATATTACATCTATTGCATGCCATGTCAATACCTCAGTGCATATGCTGTGAATCAGGTTTGTCTTTGGTGTTCTGGTTTGACTCACAGTGGGTGCATCTACATGAGGTGCTTACTGCACATTAGCCTAATAACTGTGCAGTAGAGTGTCATGGCAAAAACTGTGCTAATAACCTACTGTGCAGTGTTATTAGGCTAATGCACATCATTAAATAACCATGTGCAGGAAAAGAGTAGTTTAATTATGGTGGGGTAGGCATTTTGTCTGAAAAACAAGTTTTAACATAACTACTTTTATAAAAATAAAAGCCTTCTTTGAGCATATCATGATTTTCCCTGATTTACTGAACACAAAATGTGACATGACAAATACCAGGAGTCTTATTAGAAATGCATCGCAGGATATTTTCAATGAATCTAGAAATATCAAAATATTACATGCTTACTTGAAATTTATTTTGGCGCTGAATTCTCCTCCTTTACCAGTTCAGTGGGGATGTGAGTATGTCAATTTAGGCAAGATTGTGCCTATTGTGAGAAGGTAGGGAAGCACTTAATTGTTTAAGGCAGTTTTTGGAGAAGACAGACACAACTACAGAAAACACACACACAATCCTTTTGTTTTCATTTAAAATTATTTTGTTTTTGCAGGAAATTGGAGTAGAACAGAATATTCTACAAATACCTTCTCTTACATTTACAGAAATAAATCATCTTATCACTTGCTGGTTGAAAAGAGATTGTCGAATACTCTCAACTTACCAGCAGCAACTCTTAATAGAGGCTTGTGTAGCCTGCCCACTACCACTCTATATGTTTTGTGCCTATAAAGAATCATTCTTGTGGACATCATTTAGCCTAGAGACAAAGGTATATCTTCCTCCAGATCTATCTAAAATGTACTCATGGTTAATGGAAAAAATGGAAAAAAACCATGGAGAGCAAGTCATCAAAAGAACGGCAGCCTACATCACTCTGTCAAAAAATGGTATAGCGCTGGAAGAACTGCTTGATCTCTTGTCCCTGGATGAAACAGTAATGCAGGAAATAACAAAATATCAGAAGGTCTCCGTTTTAGCATTCCCCCAAGTGTTATGGATGAAAATTCAGAAAGATTTTGGAGAACATCTGGTAGAACAAAGGAGTGAAAACACCTATGTTTTCAGCTGGGCTCATTCATTTCTGAAGCATATCTGTATGGAGCGATACCTGAAAACATGTGATTTGCAGCTGTCTTTGCATGCTGCTTTTGCAGATTACTACCTGGGACACAAGGCTCCCAAAATAAATGGTGAAATGACCACTTTCCAACCTCTGGCCTGGGTTTTGAAGAAGGAATCCAAAGTCAGTTATGTTTTCAACCTTCGCAAGCTTGTTGGAACTTCATATCACCTGATCAAATCTAATAATATTCCCATGTTAATAACAGAATGCTTGTTTAACTATGAGTTTCTTTTACATAAAGCATGTGCTTTATCAGTGATCAGCATAGAAGAGGATTTAAAAGCAGCTGCTAGTGTTGAGAGGTGAGTTTACAATAGAACCTAAGAAGTACAATAATAATAGTAATAGATCTGGAAATTAAATGAGGCCTGAGCCTCCCTTCTTTATTCCCATGCACTACTCCAGCATTGTATGTATTGCCTCTGAACAGCAGTGTAGTATTTTATCATGGTCTATCCTCTTTCACTAACAATTATTTTATATATAAATGTCACTATCTACTACATCTACTAATTAGGTCCTCAGGATTTGAAATTCTGGTAACGTATTCTTATGCCCCATTCTCCTCTTGGGGCCAAGGTCTCCAACCAAAGCACATCTGCCATCTACTTTGGTCATCAAATGTCTCAGTTTAAAAAACCTAATAAAACTCTGTTTAGATGAAAAAATACTAAACTCACCTGTGTCTTTCTGAGTTTCCATGTAAAAACAATACATTGATAGAGCATTTGTTTTTTTTATTCATCCCACAGGACATTACTTGACTTGAATCTGTTAAGTGAAACTCTCAAGTTATCCAAGAAAGTTTTACTAAAGGACCCATATCAGCTGGCTTCACAGCTTATAGGTCGTCTGCATCAAATTGTAGCTGCAGATAAACCAGTAGCACCAGGTACCTACCACTTTTATTTATTTATTTTATTTATTTTTAATAAATTCAACTTCATGACCATGGCATTTGTACTTAGCATTCTCTGGCTCTGGATTTTAAAATGTTTTAATAAATAGTTGTGTTTTAAAAAGGAACTTAAACTATTAAAGGTTTGTTATTTTTGCCTTTATGAATGAGAAGTAACTTTGAGTGAGACAATAAGAACATTGTTAAATGATTGGATCTAGCATATAGTAATAAACAATGTTCCCAATATTTATCTTCCATGTCCACATATCTGGAGCAGTTGGGGGGGGGGGGCGGTGAAAACAGTATCATTATTATAAAAGAACCTGTGAACTACTGGTTATTGGAAGATGTTAAGAAATTCAATATAATGACAGACTTGGTCTTCTTCCATATTTTCTTGCATATAATCTGCACGTTCCCCCTTTCCCCCCCAGAAAAAAACAGTTGGGGAAAATGGGGTGCACATTATATGCAAGGAAAAGGGATACCCATGGTTCTGCAAATTTGGTGGGGTGGGTAGGGAAGGATGACTGTGACAGTATTAATCACTGTGGCTCTGCATTCCTGGACAGGAGGACTAATGAAACATGGAGGCACCCAGCCTCTGGGAGGTTTTAAGGTATTTAGGGAGGGCCTGTTGGGAAGTATGAGACTAAATCCACATCCCTAGCTGTCAGCACTGGTAGAGTCAG